GACCCGCAGTGCGGACAGAACATCCGGCCGCCGTGACGTGTGTGGGGTCTCACCCCGCGGGGGTTGATGGGGTTGGTCACGGAGTGACCCAGAGAGCTCGGTACCAGCAGCACCTGATTCAGCGCATACCCGAGAAGTCTCTCGAGTTACAGCGGGGCCTGTCGAGACAGGGCAAGGGGTGATGGTTTGAAACTAAGAGAGATTTAGACTAGAGAAAAGTGGGGCATTTTTGACACTGAGGGTGGTGAAACCCTGGCCCAGGTTGCCCGGAGAGGTAGTTGATGCCCAGTCCCTGGAACCATTCCAGGCTAGGTTCGATGGGGTATGAGTGACCTGCTCCAGTTGCAAATGTCCCTGCTTCCTGCAGAGGATTTGGCCTAGGTGACCCCTAAACTTTGCTTCCTAAAGCAAACCGTTCTGTGATTCTGATTCTGTGACTTCCAAACACTGAGGAAAGGGGAGGCCAACCATGCCCTATGACCTGGCATTACATTTTTAACCCTTTTATACATTTAGAAATAGGCCACACTAGCTTCTGAATGAAGAGCTTGATAATCTTTCTGATGTGTAGGTTTCAGGAAACTATCAGGCACGCTCAGCTTCCTCCTTCTCGCTGTGGGGTAACCTGCCCATCATGTAGAATTCCTTGTTTGGACGCAGGTCAATAAAATGAGCTATGCGATTAGACATGGCAAAAAATGCAGAAATCATGCCTATGTCCCAGGCATCTTCACGGTCAAAGCCATGCTTCTCCAGCTTCTGGAAATGCTCTTCAGTGATGTTATCAGCTTGACAGATTGCAAGAGCAAACTCCAGCATTGCCAGGTCCCGATCACTCAGGTCAGCCAGTTTCCAGTTCACAATGACCTGTGCAAAGGCAGAAACCAGAAGTAGCACAGATGGACCTGGCAAACAGCCTAACTGGCTGACCATCTTCTTTGCTCCACAGACCAAAGAGATGGGAACACACAGGCTCTTACTCAGCACCTGAACCAGACCTCCTGGCTACCTCCAGACAAAAGCCTCACCTTTTTTACTGCCCTTCTCATCTCAGGAAATTCAGCAGTTTTGCTGAGTGGGCTACACGGGAATTCTTGAAACGAGACCCAAGCTGCCAGGATGCTGCAGCTCCCCATTGGTAGCAAGTTCCTCCACGGACCAGATTAAAACAGCAGAGAATGTGGGCAGCAGGACGAATGCTTTGCAGGTCAGCCATCCCTCCCTACATCGTGCTTAGGAGATGGATGACAAAACACAGACTCCACTTCGAGGTCCCACCCCACTGCTCACCAGTAAACCTACGCAGTCAGGTGTTAAGTGCCCCAGACACGTCAAGATCATTTGGAACCACAGGGACTTACAGATCAAAGCTTCATGTGACAAAGTAGACTTGAGAGGGCCACTCCCACCTCCCTGTGTGAAGGAGGTAGAGCACACGCTGCTGTAATCCCACTGACCTGGTCAGCCAGTGTTGGCTGCTTGGAATAGATCCGATGAAGTGCTCCATGTGCAATCACGCAGTAGGGACATCTGTTCACAATGCTTGTAGCCACAATTATTAGCTCTTTGTCTGCCTTGGTGAGTCGCCCTACAGGGAGAGCAGAAGATTTGGCATATCTTCCTATTAAAAACATCCACCACAGCAAGTGTCACTGGAAAAACTGAGGGGGGAGGGTTCCAAGTACAAGCTGCCTGCAGTACAGCCCACGGCTCCAGGGAGATGCTGCAACCAAAGCTCCTGGGTCACAGGACAAGGGGCAGCAGTTTAAACTGAAAGACAGTAGGTTTACATTGGACATAAGGAGAAAATGTTTTATGATGAGCGTGGTGAGACACTAGGACAAATTGCCCAGAGAAGTTGTGGGTGTCCTACCCCTGAAATGCTAAAAGTCAGGCCAGATGGGGCTTTGAGCACCCTGATGTCTCTGCTCATGAGAGGGAAGGTGTTTGACTAAATGATCTTTGAAGGTCCCTCCCAGTCCAAAACAATCTGTGATTCTGTGATCATGCATGTGACCAAATTACCTGGATAGTTGCTTGTGGGGCAGCCAATTAGGATGAGGGGCATGAGATTTGGTGAACAGGGAAACAACAATTCCATCTAATGGGAAAACTCAGAGGAGCAAAATTTCTTGCTGATAGAGTAGGAAGCTCAGCTGGTACTTCTCCATACACAGCCTCCCTCACACAAATTTCACATGCTGCTCATGGCCAAGAACTACTGTGAAGGAAGAGCTGCAGGCAGGCTCAGCAAGGACCTGCCCCTCCCTCCAGAACTGGTTTATGCTGTGCCCTTTGCTGGGACCCCAGCTGAGCCACACTGCAGTGCTGTACTGCATAACCCTGCTGGTCTTGAACTTGACTGACGCTCAGGCCAACATTCTGGCTTGATCTTGGATCTGCCTCGTCCCTATGGAGTTGCCTGGGAAATCTGGAGCCCTGGCTGGCCCTGGTGAGCACTACCAAACCTGCCCTGCTCTGGCAGTGTGGGGTTGCAGCCTTGCCCACAAAACCACTGTATCTGTCTGCACCCTGATAGCATGCGCAGCTCCCACCTCACCTTTCCTTAGGCAGCAGCCCATCAGTCCTGAGACAGAGCATGGTGCAGTGAGGCAGCATGGCTCAGCTGGAGAGCTGCATTTTAACTGCAAGCTAAAGAGTATGAAGCTGAATACAGCAATACAAGCAAAGACAGAAGCAGCTCCAGCCTCTGCCAGCTGTTATTATGGGCTGGGAGAATGCACGGTGAAGCAATACATCCGAGGATGTCAGAAATGTCGCTTCTGGCAACTTTTCACATCTACAAAGGGAAGGGCAGTTTTGAGGTGATGCTGGTGGTACGGTTTATGTGAATGGCTTACCTGTGTCTTTGTTCATAATGGCATTGTAATATGCAAAAAAAGCTCTGAATTCAGCAGGTCGATGAGACATGGCTTTGAACACATTGGGCAGAAATCCAGTCTGTTCAAGGAAAAAAGCAAAGCAAGTCAAAAACTGCACCTTAACACAGAGCATGGAAAGCAAAATTAAGGCACAAGGCTTAGAGTACAATTTGTTAGCACAGCAGCACTTGGGAATTTCTGCATAGCCATTCTCTTGCTTGTTTATACATATGGCTGAACATGTAATTGTATGGTTCCTAATTAGGTGTTGCTGCAGTTTCATAGCATGACTGATTGTCCCACTCTCTTCAGCCACAGGACTAATGGCCACAGTCACACCAGTGAGATCTCCAAACCAGGAGGCAAGCAGTCTCCTCTTGGTCTCCCTGAGCAGATTCTGCTAGGCCCCTTTGACTGTTGTAAACCTTCCATAACTCTTCCCTCTGAGCTTACAGGACTCTGAGCAGGGCCACAGATATATGAACAGCATGCCATTGGAGGTGCTGGCACAGAATGGATGTAGGTGTTGGCACAACACTGCTTTCCTTCTCTCAGCGTTCTGCCCCTGGTAACTGCTGATGCTTAGTCCATCTCTTACTGCCCCTTATGTGCAGGACCAGCTAACGCAGGGCCCACCTGTGCTTGGTTCCCTGCAGTTGTCATTGATCAGCAAGGGATTATCAGCCTTGGTGCCTGGCTGTCCACTGCCGTTCTGAACAGGCTAGGTTGACTGTGACTATGGTAGCTGCCTGCAGGCTCCACCAGCTCACCGGCTGTTCTTCAGAGTGTTTATGGAAAAGGAGGGTAGCCCATGTGCCACAGACCCCTCAGGGAACCTCCCTCCACCACCACACAATTGCCTGTGCCTTCCTCCTGTCTTACCTCTCTGTTTACTGTTAGTTAACTAAGGGGAAGTTCTTCCTTGCTTGTCCATAACCTGTTAGCTTACTTAGGGACCTCTAGCAACAGAGGCTGGCAGCACTGTTTGGATATCCAAGACTGCCAGGTTGACTGGATCCTGCATATAAGTCTTTACTGACACCTTCAGTAGACAGACACACAGGGGTTTGCGTCACAGCATGTGACATCTGAGGTGGCTCTTCCTCTTTGCATCATATGTGCCCTCACATCTGGCAACTCCTTCCATTATCACACAAACTTCACAGAGGTCCACTGCAATGGCAGCAGGGCACAGATTGAACAGGCCAGCAGGAAGGACAGGGAGGAATGGACCAGCACCCTGCTGAGGGAAAGTTCTTGGATGAGAAAATTCTCCATAGAGCGGTGGCCGGTGGAGTGTTTCAGCTGTCAGGAAGGACTGTGGCATTCCTCCTCTGCAACACCAGGGAAGGAGATGCTTGCCCAGTTACCTCCTTTTGCCCTTACACACAGTTCTGTATTAGGCTTACTGTTCTGCCACTGCACAGCCTGCTAGACTTTGGAGAAAAAAAAAAAAACAAAGCTCAGAAGTAGAAATACCCTGAGCCTTTTAACACTGTAATCAAGGCATGTCCTGCTCTGATTTTTCTTCAATAGAAGTGTTAAAAATACTACTAATAGCAACTCAAGTAAACACAGATGCTTGAAGTGCTGGTGTCTAAACCCTGAGCCCTGAATAAGGGTTGACATATGGATGATGTCCACAACCAGGCAGGAAAGACCTTCCTCTTGGTGTTCTCTCAAGGCTGGCCAACCTTGGGTGAAAACCAATTGGGAAATCACCACCAGGTGTCTCTAAAGTTAACACTATAAAGGTTGGCTCCACTTTTAGTGAGTGGGGGTGTTTTATTATGTGGTAGGTGTGCTATGTAGGGTTTCCAGTTATTGGCAGGTCTTCCTGACTGTCCATTACAAGCAGAGCTCCCAGCAACAGCAGAACAATATCACAGCCAGGACAGAAAGATCGTATATGTAATGACATTGCTTTTTGGCAATTACCATGATTGGAATTGGACTATTGACCCGGCTTATTCCTTCTCCTGTGACCTGGCTTCTGACTCGGCTCATTCCTTTCTTTGCTTTGTCATATATGGTGAGTGAATGTATCAATCTATTTATTTCTCTGGTTGTTAGCCACCTCATATCCTCCCTACATATTTTACAATGGGATTGAAAGGTCTGGCCTGTGTGCTTCTTATTGATGGCAGTGTCCTTCCTATTGGGGCATGCAGTCAGCAAAAGAATGCTCTCCCAGAAAAACACATACATGTCAGTGTTCCAGCTAACCCCACGCATGAGACACCATCTGAAACAACTCACTAGTCTCATGGAACTGGTCAGACTTACAAAATCGTGTCAACACTGCAGGATTTCCAGCAAAATACCCATCCTGTAGGCTGGGAAGAGCTTTGAGAGAAGTGCTGTTCACCTCAGTCTTTTAACAGATTTGTGTCTGGACACAACTGGAACAGAACTGCTCTCTTGGGGTGAATGACTTGCTCAAACTTCAGACTGTTTCCACTAACAGAGTCTTGCAGAACTGTTTTACCTTCATTTCTACTTCCTCCATGAGTTCCACGATGTCATACGGCATGTCCTTCTTGTTGGGTACAGGGTACCGCCCAACAGGCCTCTCCTTTTTGGTGCTGTATGCCACCCAGGGCTGCCTCTGGAGTGCCCCTGAGGCCAGAAAATGCAGAAGCTGGGGAGAAAGGAGAAAGGGAAGTTTGTTATTCAGGAGGTCATTTATCATCTTGGCAGCCTAGTGAGGGAGGACCTTTCCTCCTGCCTTTCTGACAGGACTCAGGGGCATGTCTGTTACAGTAAGTTGCTCACTGCTCCATCAGCAGAGTAGTCAGTGCTCTGGGAAAGGAAACCCAACTCCCACTCCTGGCTGTAGCCCTAAGCTGCTGTGTGGGCAGCCAGCAGGCATCACCTCCCCTTGCCTGGCTCCTGTGCACCATCTCAGCTGCAGGCCACAGCTTCTGCTCCTTGCAGTCCTCATCACCACAGATCAGCCCATCAGCACCAACACTGAACCTGCAGTATCCCCCCAGCTCAAAAGGTGTTTCCTGACAGCCTGTGCACAGCAACTTCGCAGTGACATCAAGCAGTAGCCCTAACATGTCTCCTCCAACACAGAAGCATGACGAATAAATTGAAGACCTGTTTCTGCCAATCAGCATTCCTACAGGCAGAGCTGCCTCTCCTCTTGCAGAACACTGAGTGATGCCAGAATCAGGCCTTCCAGAGGGTTGACGCAAACAGCATTGTTGCACCAGAACCACTGTGAAGGGTCTGGCACTGACAAGACTGTATCACCCTTTGTCATGCTCTATTACTGTAAAATAAAGGCTGGTTTTGCAGTGAAGGCTTCAAGCTGTATTAGCTCTTTAGCTGTGTCAGAAAAGGCTTTATCAGAGCAGCTGCATCTTACAGATGGGCTGGGAAGCAGAGTGACTTGGTTCTGGGCAGTTGGTGCTGGCAAGGAAACAGAGTCTGCATGTCCCAATGCCCTGCTCAGAGCACACCTCGACTGTCTTACCAGCGCTCTGGCACCCACCAGATCAGTTCTGAATGATCCCAGGAACACTGCATGTTCCTCAGTCACCCCACCACCACATGGTGTTTCCCACAATTTTGAGGTGAAGATGAAACCTGCTTGATCATACATTCTTCAAGTGGTTTTGCTTGGTATATATATTGAGTTCTGGCCTGAATGCCAACACACTACTGCAGCATAAAAGAGTAACAATGACAATGGAGGCAGAGATGCCTCAGCTTGATGCTGTGAGGAAGGAAGACACTGAAATAGCTGTACAAGAACATATCCAGTTATGAATCTGAAGAGAAAAGCACTAGACCAAGTATAAACAAGAAAACCATCTCAGAAATGAAACGTCTGAGGATAAGCTCAAAAATACACTGGGGTGCAACAAGTAGCTTTAGTGCGCCAGAGAGCAGGGACAGCCACCACGTGAAGGTCAGCCGTGTGCCCTGTTCAAACCCTGCATACATCAGTGCCAGGCTGTGTTGGGTTTTCCTATCACTAGAATAAAAGGGGCTGGAGGACGCCAGGTGTGCGACATGGGTCAGCAGCTGCACGACAGCATGTGACACCCTGAGTGAGAAGGAGGAACCGTCCAGGGGCAGGAGCTGGAGGTCTCGACGGGATCCAACAGCTCTGCAGAAATATTGCCGGCGTGG